CAGCTGTGGGCCTTCACCTTGAAGGCATTGGCTGAACCAAACTTGAGCAGCAGTTTCCAGAACTTCAAGGACCTAAGGGACAATAGATAAAGTTGAAGCCTGCACCAAGGTGGGATGTCTAACTAGAGACCCTTCTATTGAAGACAGGATCACAAAGGGCAACGTTCTTTTAGAAGAAAGTAGAAACCAACCATGCCCCACTCCCAGATGCTAGCCAGGTAGATTGTCTGTGTCAACCCTTAAAACTTTAGTGCAACTGAAAGGAAAAATAACTTTCCCCTAAGGATTTAAAACCACTTGTCAATTAAAAGGAACAAACTGCTTATAAACACAACAACAGAGATAAATTTCAAAAACATTATGCAGAGAATTCAAAATCACAAGATGATCCTCACTGGGGTTTACAAGTTATAGCCTCACTATTTACATGGTTCAATAAACCTCAAGCCAATAATGTAGTTTAAAGTGGTTCCAGATTGATAGTGCCAGAGACAGAAGTAGGCAAACTATTTTGGGTGAAGGGCTAGAGTAAATATTTCAGACTTCATGGGCATCCAGTCACTTACAACTACTCAGCTCTGCTGTTGTGTTGCAAAACCAGACAGACCATAAGTCAGCAAAGGCACGTGCCTATCTGCCAACACAGTTTTATTTACAAAAACAGGCAGAGGGTAGGAATCGGTTTGCTGATTCCTATTCTAAAGGCCCAAATGAAGATAAAATTTTTGGATGATAGATAATTATGGAAATTCTCTAAACACACAAAGAAATAAGACTCCATCAGTGAGAAGCCACAGAAACAAAAAGACTCAGATCCTCAAAAGATGTAAGATTTTAGAATTGTTGGGAAAAATTACAAAATCGGTTAAGCATAAGATGCTTCAAAACTTATTTAAGAGTAAGCAAATTTGAAAAAGAATCAAATATAATTCATATGAGAAATATAAAAATTGAAATTGAAAACTCAGTGAAGAGATGTAACAGCAGATTAGATAGAACTAAAGAGAGATTTACTGAAACAATGAAAATGAATATTATCTGGAAAGAAGTCTAGAGAAGCAAAGAAATGAAAAAGATAATGATTAAGTGACATATAGGTCAGAGTAAGAAAATCTAATACTTGTTTAGTCAGACTTCTAAAAAGACAGGAGAGGGGAAATGGGACAAATTCATTATTTAAAGAAATATCTGAGAACTTTCAGGAACTGGTAAAATATACCAGTCCACAATTTGTGGGCTTATATAGGTAATTAAAATACACGTTATCATATATCCTCGTGGAAGGAATGAATAACTAGAATTCAAGTTCTAGGGTCCTTGTACTATTCCAAAGGGATGTAAGGAGATCAGTTTTGGACTTTGATATGCATACAAGTTGAAATTTATAAGGTGACTACAGGAAAAACAGAAATTAGACCATTAACCTCCAATTTAAGTAGAGAAGATGGATAAAGAGAAAGTAATAAACCCAAAAGAGGACAAGAAGAGAGAAGTTTAAAAAAATGGAAGAGAAAGCACAAAATAAGATTAAAAAATAAATCCAAATATTATTATACTAAATATAAATGTTGCTCTCATACACTGCTTATGAGTTGCATGAAATGGTACAACTTCTTTGAAACCAGTTTGGCTGCTTCTATACTAAAGCTGAATATGCTCATACCCTACCCTAATTCCTATCCTAATTCCTACTAAACATACTAACTAGAGAAACTCTTGAGTATGTAACCAAGAGATCAGCATGTTTACAATAAAGCTAAAAATAACCCTACTGTCCATTGACTTTAAATGGAATATCAATTTATGATTTTTAATACCTTATAACATAGTTATGTTCTACTTATTAGCCTGCAGTTATCTATTTTTATCATTGCCCTTCAAGTGCACCTACACACTTTCATACACAAATGAGTGTACAGCAGAACCTTGGTTCTTCATTCTGGAAGGCTGTTCAAGAAGCCAAATCTCCTTTGTTTACTACCTAAGAGACATGTGACTGACCATACAGGTATGAGCATGAAAGGGCTGTCAGATTGAGAACTGAGGTTTTGTTTTACAATTAAGACATTTTTCCTCTGTGAACAACTTGGTCAAGAACCAAATTGTTCAAGATGGGAGACATCTGAGAACAGAGGTTTGACTGTATTCTATAATTTCACTATAAACAAAAAGAAAGCAAGTGAGAATCAGAGAAGTAAACTGTCAAAGCCACTGAGTGCTTGAGCCACAATAGGAAACCGTCCTAGACTCCTTATCTCACCATCTTAACCATTATTCCAAAAAACACCACCAAATACTGCTAGTGTCAATCCACTAGAAACCAGTATACAAAAACAAAAACAAACAAACAAAAAAAAGCACAAGTTTTTGCCAAGATGCTTACTAAGGCCTCTAGTTTTTAGAACCAATTCCAAATTCCAGCCTCTCCCCATCTCCCACCACAACGTCCTCGGATCTATCAGGAAACCTTTTAGGTCAATAACATCACATTTCAGATAAAACTCTGAGAGCTACTCTGGTCATGATCTCATGTCCACAACCCATTATGTGTAGTCATGAGAAACCAACAGTCAGAAACAACATTCTGTCACTTAAGATATCAATAGAATGACCAACATATGCACTGAAGGGGAAATAGCAAATTACCAAGTTGAATATGCTTTGGCAAGTCTGCTTATACAGGAAAACTTCCCTCCAGACTGTTCTTTGTACCAGACTATGATCCAGAACTATTTCCCTAGGCTCTGAGTGCATTTACTGTTTCATACATGGCTGCCCATCTAATATCAGGATCTGCCTGGATATTTCAGAAACCCTGAGAATTCCTAAAACCAGATGTCTGTCAACAGCACCAGGGGAAAAGAACTGAAATTTTAAAAGGCAACCTCAAGACTCAATAAATGAATGTGTACAAAGGGTTAAATGAAAGGTCTTATCTAATGGGATTTTTCTAACAAATCCTGCCCATCCTTGATATTCCATTACAGTTACCAAAGACTCAGGACTAACTAAACTCTGGGCACAATATTTCTAAAGTGGGTATAAAATAAGGAGTTCTAAGGAGTATAAGCTAAATCTGAGCAGTATTTTCTAAAAGCATGTTTGCAGCAATGTGGCACTTCCTCAAACAACTTGAAAGAGAGCTGTGTAAGCCAAAAACCTGCAAAAGTTCTGATTGAGATAGCATGAGATTTCCTACTGAATACGTGATAGTATTATTGTTTTCCACGGGGTTCTTGGAAAGATACATATTATTGGTGGCCAAACAAAACAGCTATTAGATCTGCTATTTGCTTTGCTGAGGGTGGGCTAATTAATAAAATGAATTTATAAATTCAAGCTATGTTGAATATGAAAAGTAAAAAGTAAAAGGAATTCTTCTTTTTGAGAAGAAATAAATAAGACAAAGAGTTATCCCAATATACATATTTGGATTTGCTGATTTTTTAGTTAAGATCACTCCAGGTAGTTTTGGGGGCAAAAGTTAAAGCAAGAAGAAAAGAAAAGAATGGGGGCTGAGAACAGCAGACTGACGAACAAGGAAGGTAAACTGTTTGCAGATTTTCCTTTGGGATCAAATCATCTACTTATAAAAGAATCTATATTGATACTGCTATGCCTGGCCAACATATAGTCAATTAAAAGATAGTTGCCCAAGTTCACCTGCAAAATAACAGAAGTCTGTGACTCTGCTCAAGATGGAGCCCACAGGATCAGAGTCCAGATAACTAGGCTAAAAAAAAAAAAGAAGAAAACAAACTAAAACCAGCAGTTCATGCCCTCATTTCCCAGATGTCCCAGTACAATGTATGTCCCATACAAATCTATGTCGTTGAAATGAAAAACAATCACTGCTTGTAATAAGAAAGAATCTAACTTACTCAAAACCACAAGATGGTAGCGATGAGGGGGAAATAATACAAAACACATTTAGAAATATAAAATTTATTTATATTCACTGTAAGATAGTTTCACATTCTGTACATGGTTACCAGAGGAGAGACAATACTCTCAGAGTGTAAGATGGCATTATATTGCTATCAAACATTGCTTATGCTGTGAGTTGGGAAACATTTATTTTCCCCTTTAAAAAATTTAAGGCTCAGTTTCAGAAGGTAATTTTACCACTCATTTTTTCTGTTTAAGAAACTGGAAATATTCTGAGATAAACTACAAAGCAGTGGAGGGTGAGGGGCAGTGCCACAGACATCACTCATTCATACTTCTGCCGAAGACACTAAATGTGATTTTTGTTGTTGTTGTAAAAGGTTCCTCCTATTTGAAATGTGTTTGGTTACAGCAGCTGGGAGAGGCACTAGGTACAACTCTTTAGTACACAAACAAGGAAAACTAAAAACCTTACCACCAGTTGCTGGCTAAATATATTTATTTGCAACTTGCCTACCTATGAATAAACACACTCACACAGTAACTTGGACTCGTGTCTCTTTGGTAGAGCTCACCAAATGATATTTCTCTCCTAACACACTAGTAAAACATATTAACATTTCCTTTCAGCTTTCAAACCAGATGGCCACAAAGTTGTTGTTTCACCTAAACACTTTCCTCCATTTTTCTTTTCAGTCTTGCAGGAGAACATAACTATGATGTAAATAAACCTCATCCTGCTGTTTAAGTGACTGAGGAAATGGGAGGAAAGGGCACGAGAAAGCTAATCATGAAAAAAGAGTTTGGGGTATTCTTTGAGAATTACCATATCAATGATTCTAAACACAAAGAGTTCCAAAAGTATTTTCAAAGCACTTTTTCCTGTACAAACATTTCATTCAATCAATAATGACATAATCATCTTACAAAAGGCAGAATCTGTTTAAACTCAGTCAACTGCCTTGCAATTTGGGAGGCTAATGCTCTAACAACAACAAAAGGGCACGAGGTCTGCCTCTGGCATAAAGAGGTAGAGACAATCATCCTGTAGAAAATATTAACAATAAAAAAACAAACAATAAGACAATACAACACCCTCCTCCAAAAAAAAAAAAAAAAAAAAAAAAAAAGAGCCCACACACATTCTATTTCTCAGGGCTAATTCTGGGAAGCAAAGCTGTATCTCCAGCGTGGCAATCAGTCTGATTCAGGGTTGAGAGATCCATTGCCAACAATCATCTTGCTGTAGTTCTTCTGCTGTTCTTCCCTAAAAGTGTCCTTCACCTTCGCTCTCTTCAATCCACCATCCCTGGGAATAGAAATGCAAATAAATAAAAGATAATCCCAGCAATGATTTAAAAAGGTTACCTATTAATACATGCTGCACAGTGCCATGACTCTTAAGCTGCTGGTCAGCAATAGGACAAAGAACACTGGAATTTAAAAGCAGAATGACCCAGATTCCAGTCTCTGCTCCACCCCTTACCAGAGAGGTGTTACTGTGAAAAAGGAACAATTGCTCTGAGGTGTGGTTAAAATAAAAAATAATGTTTCCACTCAGTTTCTTCATTAGGAGCTGGTCTGTTGAATATGTAGTCTCTATATTAAAACTAGAATGGTTTCCCTATATTTTTCCCCCCAAAAAGCAAAATATTGTTGTTTTTTTTTATCTAATTGAACTCTGTCTTACTAGAAAACCATATAGACAATTTAAAATATACACATATGAAATGGTGAGGGTACTGAGTATGTGTGAGTAAATAAATAAATGGGCGAAGCATTACTCAAATCTAACCCTATGTTTACCAAGTTAGTTTCATTCACAGCACTACATTACAAGTATTTCTAATCCTCTATATTCCAAAACAGACTAAGAATAAAACAAAATAATAATAAGTTTGCATTCAACTGGTAGTTAGTGCCTATGTAAGCAGCATTCCTTAATTCAGAGCCTGTGAATCTTTAAACTCTCTCCAGGATGGTGAAAACGCAGACCTGCCAGGGTTATAAGGACTCTGTGAGTGCCTTTTCTTCTTTGGAGAACATGAAGAAAACAACAAATTTTAAGTGCTGGGAGGAGAGGGGACTACCAGGGGCCACTTGTTCTCCTAATCAAATGTTTTTCATTATAACTCCTGAGCAGGCACTGACTGAGAACTTGCTTACTTTATACTGTGCCTGCTTAATTTTAACCCAGTTAAGCATGAATACTTACCACGTGCTCTCTGATAATAACCTGATGAATAAATCACAGGTTAGCCAGTGAACTTATAAAGACAGAACTTGGTCCCCAAAATTGTCCACAAAAGCCCCTTTTCTCCAAATGAGCTGTCTTGAACCATAGCATTTACTTGAATTCTGAATAGTAAACTGAATACTAAGGAAGGGAGGGAGAGGCAGAAGATCATTCTTTCTTTCCTGAAGCCCAGGCCAAAAATGGCAAAAAATCAAAGTTAGCAACATTTGCCCTTGAGTATCCTGAAGTAATTTTATGCAGTTCTCCTTCCCGAGCATCCAGTAAACCTCATACTGCTCTAAGCACCCCAACTGCGTCTTGCCACCCCTATAGACTTCGAAGTTTACCTAGTTCCCCTTTCCAATGGCAGCAGATCTTAGTTCTTAAGGCAGGCAGCAGCCATATTTAAAAGCCAGTTTAAAAGGATATAATTAGTTTTCATTTGATCTACGAGAAAACTCATCCAGACATGTTAATGCAGACCTAATGGGTAACTGACAAATACATATGGAAAGCTTTTTTTAAAGAAGAGGTAATTAAAAGTAACCTCTTCTTATAAAATTGTATATGGCCTGAAAAAGGAAATTGAGAACTTCTGAAGATCATTTCTGACAGATTTTGTTGAAGCCAATCTGATTGGGAGTCTGTCCTGTGGCTGCCTCCCCTTGGCTGTTTTTGCCTCTCAAAGCTTTCCTTCCTTCCTTGGTGTCTGAGGCTGCTGAGCTAAAGCTCCAAGCTTTCCATAATGGTTTCAGGACAGGAGCAGGGCTGCAGTGTCAGAGAAGGTGAAAGGAGTACAGAAAATAATGAATAAGAAAGAGGAAGCCAGGTATACAATGAACATGGACCACAGGGCATTTGTAAATTAAAGCATTATAAACTAGGTCACAGGGAAGCCTGCCATTTTGTGATGTTTCACATATTACAGCTTAGATAAGATACTGCAAATGTTAGTCTTAATCTATCCTAACCCTAGTCCTGATCCTAGGGTCAGTCAATTGCTTTAATCCAGAACTTGGACTTTGGGGTGGTCAGGCAGGCATTTAACCAGAAGCCACCTTAAGGCTTCAGCTATCTTGACCTCCCAATATCCCAGGCTTTGTTAATTAGCACAATGGGTTTTCACTGTGGTAATTAGTAGCTTGTTAATTGGCATAATTAGTGGCATGTCACACTTCTAGTCTGTGCTCTTAAGGACATGGATGCATCCTTCTTGCTTTAATTCCTCCCTGCTAGCCTCTTGCTGAACACACTGAGCAGAGCTGGGGCAGTCCTCTTGGACCAGAAAGTACAAATGTATTGAGGGTGGCCGAACTATACAGAATGAGTTGGTATACCTGAACCGCCTACGCTTAAAGGAAAGGGACAAACTTCTACCATATTTAAGCCATTGTTATGTTGTATGAACCCCTGTCACTGTCAGCTAAACCTCCAGTTAACTAGCATAATGAATAACATTATTAAAAGTTTTTTTTAATTTAAAGAAAGTGATAGTACTTCTGAAAAAATTCTTACCAGGGCAGCTCAGTCAATCCTCCCTGTACAGCAATAGCAGACTTAACCCTATTAGCAAACCGAACTGCATCTTCTCCTTCCTGGGGAAAAAAATTACAAGTACATCCTAGGTACAGAGTTTTCAAATAATGCCTTAAAATGTCTCAAATCATTTAGATTTATTTTAAAATATAAGATTCACATTCTAGCTGAAATACGTTTGAGTCTCAATCATAGCAAATATCATTTGTTCTATCAAGAAAATGCAGTGCTGTGTTGTTTCATTTTTCTTACTAGGTATACATATTTATCATGCTCTTTATTATTCCCTTATCGAAGATGCAACATTCTGTAATATCTTTAGGTATTATAAACTAACAGCAATTATAAAAATTATTATGGAAAAGAGTCTCCGAATATAAAATGACCTGATTTGAGGAGAACTACACTTTTTAAAAATGACTAATTTGCTGAGAAAGCAGAAAGGAAATCCAGCTGTAGCTGATATGAGAAAGGGAGACACTTAGGTTTTCAGGTAAAGGTTTTCTCACCTTTATTTGATTAAAGCCCCAAAGACCAGCCATTATTATCTATGGCATACCTCTCTCGTCATGGGAGGCAAGTACCACACATCACAGACGATGGCCCAGCTGGTCATCATTCGAAGCAGGTAGCTCACCATGTTGTATTTACTACTGTTCCAAAATGCATCACCAAACTGAGGGTTATACTAAGCAAAAGGAAAACATATACCAGTTATGAATTAAGTGGTGGCTTCTCTTATCCAAGTCACTGTTTTCAAGGCAGCAAGCCAAACCCTATGAAAAAGGGAAGCTTCTTTGCTCGACAGGAATGATCAAAAAAGTAAACCAGTCTAGCCAACTCCTCAGACTAAACCCCCAGAGCACTGCAACAAGAGGCTGATTTACATGACTCTTTAAAAAAATTTTTTCATACAAGTTGACTTTAGGCACACTAATGACATGCCAGTACATGACTCTTAAATTTCCATCTCCCCACATAACTGGAAGGTGGATGAAAGCAGGGACAATATCTGTTTTGCTCATCACTGACTGTGTCCTCAGTAAGTCCTCTGGTACCTATCTATATACATATCAATAGAGAGGAATGATCAAGCAAAATGTAAACACTGGTGAATCTCAGTGAGGTATATACAATTGCTCCTTATTCTCACAAATTTTTAATATGAAAGTATATCAAAATAAAGTTACCAAGTAACTACCCCTTTTCTAAGGGGATGAGGGGAATCTGTTTTACCTTAATTGCAACTGGATATATGGTTCCTCCAATTTCGAAGCTTCCCTTTTTAAACATCATGACTGAAGTATTGTTGATGCAAGTTCCTGCAGGGAAATGGGCAAGGGGTGGGGGGGTGAATATTTTTAAAATCAAGTCATTTTTAAAACAAAATTTTAAAAGGAATTACTTTGATATAAAATGATTTAAATTATTCAAATCATATCAAAATTACATTTTATTGCCATTTCATAAATCAATTCCTGCTTAACAGTAATTCTACAGTTCAAAGGTTTAATAACAAACTTTCACTTTATTATTGAATACTCTAGAGATACAACTTTTTCACAACAGGTAATAATTTCAACAGACTTAAAATAAAGACTTTGAAAAAGTATGGTCAATACCTTTCTAATTTCATTACCCAGAAATAACTTTTAAGATCAAAAAGGTACCGTGACTTTCATCAGATCTCAAAGAAAGGAGGAATTACTAGCTCAGACAAGGCTCTCCCATTCCCCTAGCACAGTGGATGTGGGGCTAAGAATGCCAATTCCAGGACAATCCAATTCCTCATACACTTTCTGTATTTGTTATCAACTATAGCTTGGTAGGCAGTCTCCCTCTTACCTTCAGGAAAGATTAATATGGGTAATTTTTTCTTATCAGCAATGTGCTCTTTTAGTCTGTGGGAAAAAAAATAAAGGATAAAAATCCTACCTTTAAAAAGAAAAAGATGGGAATCCTCTTTAGCATTCTTTACACTCTATAGCACAAATGTAATGGTAAAGCAATAAGGAGGAAAGAAAGAAGACGTAAGTCAAAGAAGTAAACTCAAGTGGGTCCCTTTCTAAGAAGTGTACGTATGGCTTCAGTTTCAGTTTCTTTCATGTCAAAGTGAGCAATTTTCAGTGCCTCTGGCCCACTCTTTAAAAAGAATGCTAGGCGGTCGTGTGACAGGAGTTCTGCAGTCCCTCCCCCTGCACCTTTATTGCCCCATCTGAAAAATGGGGGTATCGATTGCTGGACTTGTCTGCCTATGGCCATTCAGAATAGAGGATGCCTTAAATGGGTCAGGCTGAACTTTCCTAGGAATTATGCACCATACTAAAGCTGAGAGTAATGTAAATTCTTCCAGATCCTGTCCTCCCTGCAGCCAGCCTTATATTCCCAACTGCTCACCAGGACTGGTAGGGCTGAGATGGAGAGGGTCCCATGCTAAATAGTCTCAAGATGGGGGATAGTTTTTCTAATCTTAAGCAGATTTCAACAAGTACTTTTCATTTAACTCTTAACAGCATGGCTCACCTTCACGCTCATAGAAGCAGTGACCAGAGGGCCTTCAGTTAAAGGCCTCAGGCAAAAAGGTGTTTCCCAACAAAAGTTTCTGGTAGCTCATCTCTACCCCAACTCCCAGAGGTTCCCTTTTCTGTTTCATAAGGAGATTAGCTCTGTCTCAAGGCAGAAAACAATCAACCTATTGACTGATTGATTGATTGATTGATTATATAATCTATTAATTCATCAGAGTTAAAAATTATTTAACTTTCTAGGTAGTAATTTTTAACTTTGAAAATTCAGCAACTGGATGACACCTAAAATCACCACAATATAAACTGATGGGCCTTCTAATCTCATTTTATATCCCATTATCCTACAAAATTAAAATTTTTTAAAATGTAGCTGAGACAGGTGATATACCAGAAAAAGCCTACCACAAATAGAGCTCCATGTTTTAGCTTTAAATCCTTAGCACTGCTCTGCCTTCTTGGGCAGGAAAGCCAAGTTTATGCTACACCAAGAAATACTGAGTAAATGTCATTGCTCACCTCTTAATAACCAGGTGTCGATCCTTCATTTCTGAGCGTTCAAACCAGACATGTGGACAAGCCTTGACCATAGCTCTCTGAATAATTCCCATTAATCCACCATGAACCTGGCCAACCTAGAAATATCATCAGAAAAAGAGAAAACTGTAAAGGCACAACTGTCCAAAGAAAGCACGTGCGCGCGCGTGCATGTGTGTGTGTGTGTGTGTGTGTGTGTTTAAATACAAGTAAATTCCTATTCCCCAGTCAGAGAAAAACATCAACCTTCTTCAGCTGACTAAAGTTCTTAGTCTATACAAAAGAAAAGAATGGCCAAATATAAGCAAAAGCTGTTGTTTAGTAGCACCTTTGAATTTTAAGGTATACTCTAGCTACTATAGCAACATAGATAAGAGAAAGTAGAGTAGTCAAGAGAAATTCAAATTAAAACTACACTGAAATACCATTCCTCACCTATCAGATTGAAAAAGATTCAAAAATTTGACAACATACTCTGGACCAAGGCCATGGGAAGCAGGCACTGCCATACATTGCTTGGGATAGGGGAGATTATAATACCACTGGGAGGAAATTTGGCAATATCGAAACTGCATACACATTTATCCTTCAACTCAATAATTCTACTCCTAGAAATTTATCCTGATATACCATTTCACTCCAACAAAATGAAAATACATATGCATAAGGATTTAATTTCAGCACTATTTGTAATTTCTAGATATTGGAAACTAACTAAATGCCCAAACATAAGAAATTAGATGAATAAACTATTGTACAGGCACTCAATGCACCCAGGAAAAGACCAAGATTGAACTCTGTGACTGATAAGAAATCATATCCAGGAGACCTTATTAAGTGAAAAAAGCAACCTGCAAAAAGCAAATATAGTATAATACCTTTTGTATAAAACAGAAGGGGAAATGTACACATATATTTGCTTGTCTCTACAAAAATAAAAAATAACCAAAAATAATGAAGTTGGAAACCTGCAAGAGTAGGGGGCACTGGGATAGAATGGACATATGGGAGTGGCACTTCTGGATGCAAGCATTTTTTGTTTAGTTTTGACATTTGGAAACCTGTTAATGTTCTACAAAATTAATTTAATTAATTAAATTATATTAAATTAAATAGGACTAGCAAACCGAAACTAATGAACCCAGCTATATTTCAAACAAATAAAAGAACAACTCTGTAACCATGAGGTGGGGAGGGAGGACCCAAGAAATTTATAAAGACAGTATTTCACACATACCCTCCATCTTGGGTGGGATGCCAAGAACTGCAAAATACCCTCAGTTATATTCTTACATTTTTTTTTTGTGTGGTAAAATAAGTGAAGCAATTCTGAAACAATTTTGGATGTATGACAGAATTGAGAAAATGAATTGATATTGTTGGGAAATAGGATACTCATTGTGAAAAAGGGAAGATACAAATATGGATTGGGGGAAAGCAAGCAAGAACCTTATGAATTGGATAAATTTGTATAGACTCAGACTTCCAATATTGTATCAATACTAAAAATATTAAATGTAAATATATTAACATATAATTATTTTACATGCATTTTTATATAGAGCAAAGGAGAAAGCCAGCATATGAGAATGCAAATAAATAAGCAAATGGGGCCAAATGATACCAACAGGTAAATGTGAATAAAGGGTACAAGGATGTTGTATGTAACATTATTATCACAACTTCTTTTTAAGTTAGAAAATACCTCTAAATTTAAAAAAAAAGTAGGTCTTTAAGAAAAAAAAACTTTGAAAAGCCCCTAGGATCTTGAAGATTCTTCAAAATATATAGTTTATGTTTAGCCAAAAGAGGCCAAATAAGACTTCTGAAGGGTAGCAGCACAGTTTCCTCCCATTTCTGCCCTCCTGTCTCTGATTTAAATCCAAATGGCTTTAGGTTTCTATCAATCAACCCATTAGAAAGTTCATAGGCGCTATGCTTTTTCTAAATCTAGGCTAGTATTGTAATTGCAATGATACACAATCAAAATCATGGAAAATGCCAACAAAATTCTGAGGCCTTCAGTCACAAATGATTTACGCTCAGCTCTTTGTTGACCAGGACCCCCAATGAATATGGTCTCAGAAACACAAAACTATGATTAGGTAAGTTGGTTAAAATGCCTGAACCTCTGCCTTCTCATCTAAATGAAACTTCAGCCCTAACCTCACTAAATTACAAGGAAGGTCAAATATAGTGGATGTAAAAGTGCTTGTCCACAATAATGCAAGGAATTATTATATACCCGCAGAACTATGCTGACGGCTGTCTATCAAGGGTTGTTAACATGAAAGTCCTTGGAAGGGCTTTCTGGAGATCCATAAGCATCTTCAAATTAGACACAAAATTATGTTTGTATGATGCACATATATGTTATGGTGGTGGTTTGTTTCCTTAAAAAAACAGGTACATAATTGATTCTTAACCTAAAAAATGTTAAGAAGTACCTTTTCAGAGAGAGTTGGTGACAGCTTCCTTTGATTCAGAAACAGCCCCACAACTTAGAGAAATTTAACAATGTGTTAAAATGTATTATATACCTGAATTTATAGTTAGACAGATTGAATACCTGGCAATAAGTTAGGAGTTTTTACAAAGGCCTTCAAAACCCAAATACCTGCACATGTGGCTTTGTGGTTTGTTGTGGGGTTTTGTTTTCTTTTCTTTTTCTTTTGGGGCTATAGACAAAAACTGAAAAAGGTAATGTGGTTTAAACATTTGCCTTTCTTACCTGAGTTTCATTAAAGGGACAGAGGGTTTTTTTTTGTTTGTTTGTTTTTAACTGCATATGACTCCTTGAAGGAAAACAGAACTGTCTAGTAAGGGACTTTCACAGCTCTAAGGAAGAAGACTTTAATCTCTGAAAATATTATTAACACCACAGGGATTTTAGAAACAAGATGGAATCATCTTTATAAAGTCCTATCAAGCTCAAGTATGTCTGCATTTCCGTAAATTAAATGTTTATTACCTTAACTATAATGTCTATTTTCTTGCAATATATATTTCTCATGTAAATGTATTACATAGCATATAGCTACAGAAGTATAACCAAGTCAGTTTATATAAAAATAACTTTCTAATTTGTGTCAAAATAAATTTAAAATTTGAGAAATCCACAGAACATGTGACTACTTGAAATATCAATAAGCTGCTCTTACCATAGCATAGCATCCATCCATTGTCAAGATCATAACATCTATCGGGGAGGTATGATTGGCAACACAAATGCCTCCCTTCTGGGGTCTGTACTGCCTGCAATTACAAACAATTACAAACAAATAAGGTAAATACTAAACCTTGGAAAATGGCCATTATTTCGCAGAACAGCATGTAGATATTCATCCTATTTTGTTTTAAAAAGATGATTAAAAAATAAAGCTAAAAGTATGTGGGACCATCTTAAAAAGATTATCTCTAGGCTATAATGATGGGATCTGTCTAAGAATATAGGAGAAAGGGCCCTCGACTCTCCCTTAACATGTATTTATTTTTTTTTGTAATGACCATACTTTCCTCTTATGATGAAAAATAATTTTAAAATATTAGACTGAATTACAATGATTCCATAACTTTAATACATTTGGGATAAGTTTCATTTATTTTATAAGCATTTTTCTATTATATTCATTTTCATAAGCATCACTTTTAGAGGTTTCATGGTGATTCACCGAGTACATTTACTATAGTTTCTTTCCTCTGTCCTATCCTCCTAAATCAGAAGTTGGCAAAAGTTTCCTATCGCAGGCCAAACAGTAAATACTTTAAGCTTTGCAAGCCAGCCAATCCCTATCAAAACTACAGGACTCTGCTGTTTTGGCATAAAGGCACCCTACAGATAACATGTAAATGATTGAGCATGGCTGTGTTCTAATAAAACTTTATTTACGAAAACAAATGGCAGGCCAGATTTGGCCGATTGGCCTATAGTTTAATTTGCTGACCTCTGTCTGAGAATTCAACCAGTATCTGACACTAATGAAGCAAAGTAGTTCTTTTGGGGGCTATACAAAGTACAAAGGGAACCAAATGCATAATAACTTTATCATGTTTTCCTTAAAATTAGAAGCTATTTTATAAAGGTTATGAACCCCTCTCTATGTCATTAAACACCTTTTCTGTAGAAGGTATCTATCTCCTCTACTCATACTTCTTCCAAAGCATTTTCTTTGACTCCTCCCCCTAAAAGTCATAGCCCAATCACAGTATCATATAATTTTAAAAATTTCACTCCCTGTCAAGATATAGGCATAGGTAGACACACTTTTCCTTCTTACATAACCACAAGAAGTATCACAACTAACCACAAAACAAAAAACACCCAGAACTGCCAGAAAATCAAACTGTATGGAAGTCCAACAACCAAAGATTTAAAGAAGCCATATTCATCCAAATGGGTAGAAAAGGCAGAGATGGGGAGCCAGGGCAGAGAAGATGCAATGTGGCAATGGAGAAGAGGCAGCTTTGACATTCACATGTGCTGGATAAAAATCGGGAGGGGTACCCTGGGAGAGAGCAACTCCCAATCCCAGGCCAGACCTCACAGCCCAGGGCTGCAGAAATAAATAATAGCTCTGGGGAAATAAAGCCTCATAACTTCTGGCTGTAAAAACTAGTGGGGGTTGTGGTGGAGGAAGAAACTGCCAGTCTCTAAAGAGAGTCTGTTTAAAGGGCCCGCACAGTCCTGGCATGTACACAAACCCACTCCCACTCTGGGAACCACCAGGGCAGCTGCTAGAGGAGCACCAAACACATATGGGAAGTGGGTGAAGAGACTGGAAAAGGGGTGAATGCCAAGCAAGCCTTCATCATCCAGGTAGCAGCACCGTCCCCTCACCAGCCCATTCCCAACATACAGAGCCATAAAGCAGTGAACTGGGTTGGCCTACCGTGGCAAACCCCTAAGGCTCCACACCGTACAACTTAACAGGAGCTTTAAGACAGGGAGCTAAAGCAGCTCTACCTAATACACAGAAACAAAGACAGGGAGGCTACCAAATTGAGGAGGCAAAGAAATGGCTCAAATGAAAGAATGGAACAAAACCCCAGAAAAATAACTAAACAAAATGGAGATAGCCAACCTGTCAGATGTAAGAGTTCAAAACACTAGTGATGAGGATGCTCAGAGAAACTGATACAGCAAAAACATAAGAGAAGAAATGAAGGCTGTACTAAGTGAAATAAAGAAAAATCCACAGGGAACCAACAGTAAAGGAAAGGAAGCTGGGGTTCAAATCAGTGACTTGGGATATAAGGAAGAAATAAATATTCAACAAGAACAAAATGAAGAAACAAGGATTCAAAAAAAATGTGGAGAGCATAAGACTCTGGGACATCTCCAAAGGAGCCAACAGCCAAATCATAGGGATGCCAGAAGGAAAAAGAAAGAGCAAGAAAGTGAAAACTTATTTGAAAAAATAATTACAGAAAACTTCCCTAATTTGGCAAAGGAAACAGACATACAAGTCCAGGAAGCACAGAGAGTCCCAAACAAGTTGGACCCAAAGAGGGCCATAGCAAGACACATCATAATTAAAATGCCCAAAGTTAAAGATAAAGAGAGAACCTTAAAAGCAAGAGAAGAGCAGTGGGTTACATACAAAGGAGTAAGCACAAACTTTGCAGGCTAGAAGGACTGGCAAGAAGTCCTTCAAAGTTGTATTCAAAGCAATGAAAAGCAAGGACCTACAACCAAGATTACTCACTCTATCCAGCAAAACTATCATTTAGAATGGAAGGGCAGATAAAGTGCTTCCCAGACAAGGTAAATCTAATGGAGTTCATCATCACCTACATGAAATGTTAAAGGGACTTAAGAAAAAGAAGAAAATCAAAACTATGAACATTAAAAGGGCAACAAACTCACAACTATCAACAATTTAATCTAAAAAACAAAAACAAATTAAGCAAGCAACAGAAACAGAATCATGAAAATGGAAATCATTTGGAGGGTTATCAGTTGGGAGGCAAATGGGGGAGAAAGGGGAAATGGAACAGGGAGTAAGACTCACAATTGGTAGGTACAAAATAAACAGAGGGAGGTTAAGAATAGCATAGGAAATGGAGAAACCAAAGAACTTATATGCATGACCCATGGACATGAACTAAGGCAGGGGTGGGGGAGTTGCTGGAGGAAAGGGAGGAAAAGGGGGAAAAAATTAGGACAACTGTAACAGCATAATCAATAAAATATACTTCAAAAAAATAAAGAAAGAAAATTTAACGAGTGTTTTATGTTGGTAGCACATGAGAAAGCCAAATAATAAAATGTTTCCCTTCCACAAATGAAACAGAAGGATCCAGTCAATAAAACAACTAGAGGCTGTCCTAGCTCTGCCTGGTGTGGCTCAGTGGATTGTGCACTGGCCTGCAAACCAAAAGGTTACTGGTTGGATTCCCAGTCAGGGCACATGCCTGGGTTGCAGACCAGGTCCCCAGCTGGAGGCATGTGAGAAGCAACCGATCCATGTATCTCACACACCATTGTTTCTCTCCCTGTCTTTCTCCCACCCGTTCCGTCTCTCTAAAAATAAATAAATAAAATCTTTTTAAAAATTCATTAAAAAAAGTAGAGGCTGTCCTAGAACTTTTTAAATAATGATGTTAAATGTAAGAAAAAAATAAAATTCAGTTAACAGAAAAGTAATTCAAAAACTATCAAAATTACTTCCACTTAGCTAATAACTTCACATAGCTATCTTTATGCTCCATGAGTAAGGGTAAGGGAAGCAAAATGTCATGTCTGTTTTAAGGCTCAGTTATGGAATTTTAGAGGTGGCAGGACTAAGAACAGAAACTAGGCCTCCACACTCCAAGGCTAGTCCTCCATCAACCACACTACAGGCCTGTCACCTCCATCACTATTTAAATCAGACATACCCTGTTCAAAATCTGACTGCCACTGACTATGTGACCCAGACAACCGATCCCACAGTCTCCATTTCTTCACCTGTAAAACAGGATAACAGCACCTCTCATAGGGACAACCCACAAGAAGTGCAGGCCTGGCCCACACACTACAAATGCCCAATGACCAAGTGTCGAAGCATGTTTAGTAGTATGTTCCTTCAGCAAAGAGATTGCTTTTTTAAAGTGTTTTTGTGTATTGTTATGTCTGTGACACTCTAAGAAGTAGGGATGAATCCACATGAAATACTTCACCTATTAATCACACACTGAACTGACCTAGAGGAAGGCAGGCACAGAGCAAAGAGACACTCACTTGTTATGATAATGAATAGTACCAGAGAGAGCACGCACACAGATCCGGCAACAGGTCAGGTGCACCAGTTCACTGAGCCAGTTTTTGAGGCTGAAAGAAAGAAAAACATTTCATTGTGCAGTTCTGGGCACTCATAAGAAATAAGAGAATAAAAACTTTACTGTGCCCCTTCACAGCAGCATCCTGTGCTCTGAAACACAAGCACATTGCAATTCTTACAGTCTTATTGAGGCAGTTAGGACAAAGCTCTAAAGCAGGTGTGTCCAACCTGAGGCCAGTGGGCCACATGCAGCCCAGGATGGCTATGAATGCAGCCCAATACAAAATTGTAAATTTACTTAAAACATTATGAGATTACTTTTGTGATTATGTGTCACAGTGTATTTAATGTGTGGCCTAAGACAACTCTTCTTCTTCCAGTGTGGCCCAGAGATGACAAAAGGTTGGGGACCCTGCAGGCAGAAAATAGCTCCCACCTGACTCGACTCTCATACTAAATTTCTGATCAAGATAAGCTGAAGCTTCTTTGGTCTCAGCCTGTGAGTGTGACAATGCTAAAAGACTCTCTCACTTTCCTTGAGGTCCTTAGTCATTTTCTTTCTTCTCTTTTCCCTTTGAAAAAATTTCTAACAATTTATATGAAAGTATGATGGAAAAATCAAATCAAAACTATAAATATGAAGTAAGCAGGATTTTAACAAGTGTGTTGAGGCCATAAATTTGATGCAGTACATAGGAATTAAACATATATTCTCTTTGTGGACACGGCTAAGAAAAGAACAATCCTATTTAATGCTGGGTGGAAGGACACAAGTCACCTGCTATCTGGCAGCTGCCCAACCAGTACAGTTCCAATAACCAACAAACTGATCCCAATGAAGGCCAACATAACCCTGAAAAAGAAAAGGTAATTCAAAAGGTTAGTTGAATACTAGGGGTAAAGGAAATAACCAAAAAGTTCACAAATAATGAAATTGTAAATAAGTTGTGGGGCACCCACACCAGGGAATATGGTACAGCCATTAAAAAGAATTGGATAAATCTACAGACTCTGACATGGAAGAATGGTCCTTGGTATATTGAAAGCAAAAAAAGCAAAGTTTCAAAATAATATACAGAGAATGATATCATTTTCAAAATAACAGCAGGCACATAACTAGTCTACAGACATATAGACAACGTCTGGAAATTGATTCACAAACCCATCAAGTTCAATCTACATAATCATCAGAGGGTTGAAAGGGCTAAGTGAAGGGAATAAATTAAATGTCTTGCCCTTCTGATTTTCTGAATTACTTTAATTTTTAAATTATTCTGAATTATTTTAAATTCGGAATAATATTAACATATTAACTTCTATAAGAAAAAAGTTTTACATTGTATGAAAGAGTCATTTCTGGTTGAAAGTAGTCACGACTTTTTGTTCAGGATATTTTTGGTGTGGCATCATATAGTTGTAGAAGAAAATACCTTTCAAAGGTCTGAAAATAACTTGTTTTCCCTGTGTTTTTTAATGACAGGGGAACAAAAGAGTACAAACCAAATTTTTCTCAAAGGAATATAAAATTCATAACAAATGGCAGAAAAGTTGTACTTAAAGGCTCTTTCATAATAAGAACCCCAAATTATGTATTCCTTAATGCAAATCTAACTGTTGTTCCTTTGTAAGGTTCAAGAAAACTTGGAAGTTAGTAAACAAGATGACTTGATGATACCTCTTATCTCCACATAGACACTTTCTCATTTTTGAAAAGTGTTTTTAATATATGTTTCAATTAGTTCAAAAAGAAACAGTCATTTTTAGAAATGTAAATAGAATAACTCAAAAAGAAAAGGTTAAGATTTAAACTCTTTCAAAATAAATGGGGTTGCCTCATAAACACCTAATTAAGGTGTTAACATTTTGGTTTAACACTTTTTGACACAGCAATTTGAAGGTCAAATTCCGTTTTCTTTAATTGCCATATTTTCATGTGAGTCACTGATGCTATAACTAAACCACTATTTTAATTTCTTCAACAATTGTGTGAAAGTTTTAAAATGTTTTTTCTTTTTGCCCAAATGAGAATCATTTGTTCCTACCCATTTAATTAGAAGGGGTGACATTTAAAATGTTTAACAATTGTGTTCAAAACTATTAAATTGAAGCTTTTTGTTTGCTAGATTAACAGGCCAGAAAATTCTGTTTTCCAGTTTAACTGAGCAAACAAGGGAGTTCTCTTAGATGACATAAGGTATCAACCACAATCTGGCTTTTTTTTTTTTTAAGACCTTTAAAAAGGAGCTGCAATTTGCATATCATAAAGTTCCTCGATTTAAAATGTACAGCTATAAAAATAGTATAGGAAATGGAGAAGCCAAAGAACTTAAATGTACAACCCATGGACATGAACTAAGGGTCAGGAGTAAATGCTGGTGGGAGGGGGTGCAGGACGAAGGGGAATAAAGGGGACAACTGTAATAGCATAATCAATAAAATATACTTTAAAAAATAAAATAAAATGTACAACTAGTGGAGGGAAGGGGTTGGCGTGTTCACAGAGCTGCGCAAGGACCAACACGATCTAGTTTAGCACAATCTGTGTTTTTAAGTCGTCACTTTGTAGCAGCTCATTCTCTCAAACACCATTCACAAAGCAATTCTTTAATAATGAAGAGTATGTACCAAAAGTAGGAGAATTAATTCTGCCATTTCTTCTTGTTCTTGAGTGCTTGCAACATTACAGGATTTATCTTAAATCTGGTTTCTTTGCAAGAATCTTTTATGTCACTTACCTATTTTGTGAGCACTACTTTAATTTAAACTAGATAATAAAATCAAACACCATTTGCTGGACACTCACAGCAGGTGAAAGCTAACCAGTAAACGAGGAAATCTCAAGTACTCTGTGTTGTAAAATCCTCACTGTCCCCTTAGGTTTCCATGACCCGTGGACCAAGTGAAGATGGAAGAACTCATCTGTATGTATATTCAGCTTCACTGAAGTTTAATTTCTTTTTAAGAATAAAAACAACAAATGGGAGCTGTAATTATAATAAAGTGGAAATTTATAATAAATAAAAGCTCGAATATTTCTGTCCTGCATGTCAATGGGGTGTCTTGGGCATCCCCAGAGTGTATGACCACCACTTTGGGAACACTGGCTTAAGATCCACGCAAATGTGTATATGAAACCCTGAATTTCACTTCATTATCACAGCTGAAATGATTCCCAAAAGACGTATCATGCCCTAATATCTAGAAACTGGCAACATGAGCTTAAGAAAACAACTTTTTTTTTAAATGTGCCTTTGCTTATACTTAAGCAATCTCTTCCCTTGTAATGAATGTGAATGAGGCAAGTATAGGTCACCCTAGGGATGGTAAAGAGGTTTCAACTCATGTACCAATTTTGTTGGCGGGTAGCAACTGTGTGGAAAGCTCTATTAAGTAAATGCCAAGGTTATGCCCAAGGGAAATGAGGCAAGACAACCAACAGCAATGTTGTGACCGGTACACGTGCTTACCATCTGCCACCATGACGCTAAACAAACCTGGGTCAGTTGCACGTCATCCCAATGCCCAGTGTTACCGCTTCTACTCTTATGCTCCACACTAGGGTTCTAGTTAACTGAGCTTAAGGGTATGTCTTCATGAGGTAGCACTCAAATTTAGAACCAGAAGGAGAGCCAGGTGTGGAAATTTTAATAAGAAAAGTGAGTGATCATAAATGGATGTGGATAGAACAAATTCACTCTTCTGCATGGCTTTCTTCCATGTGGTAACCACTCTCAGGAATTTTTTCTCTCCTGTGCATCTATGAACCACTACAGACCAGTAAAGAGACGCAGTTACAGTTCAGTAGACACACAGGTGAATGTGAAAATGTAAATCCTCTTCTTTTTTTCTCACTTCCCTTTTCTATCCATCAAATTATCTATGACTGAAAGAGTAATGTGGATCCAGACTGATATATATTAGATTCTAAACAGGCACCTTCACTGGGGAGGAAACAAAGTGAAAGGAGAATAGATACTTAATACGTTCCTGTGGAGGTGACATTTGGTGGTGTTTTCTTATGTAAGAAGGATTGGTACCATAAAACTCACATGTGGCCATTATATACATGATTTTAAAAGAAAGCTGAACCAATTCAATTGCTGGGCAGGAGACATACCTCAGAGGTAGTAGGACACAGTAGCGCACTATGACGCCCAGCACCCACACCATGGTGAGCCGTAGACTGATGTACTGGAAATTTATATTGGTCCTTGTGAGGAGATTCCATGACACTAGCTCCTCTGAGGAGAATCTCTGGGTCACTTCATCTTCCACAATGGCTTCCAATCCCTTCTTGGAGAAATAAAATGCATCAGACAGCTCAAAGTCCCTTCCTCGCAGACCAGAGAGCCCTTTTTCCATGGGTGACTCATCTCTTTGGATAATACCTTAAAAGAAAGCATTAGGACATGAGAAAATGCCATAGAACATACAAACTGACCAAAGGGTCAACTGTGTACAAGACAAATAAATTTAATGGGTAATATGACAGATTTCAGAATTAAAAAACAAGCTATTGCAGTGTGGAAAGAGGTGAAATCACAGAATCTGCAAGAAATGGCCCCTACCCAAGGATTTCAATGTACTACAGAGGAATTTTGGTCCTTAATAACCCTCCTGCTTGCATTTCCTCCCTCACACCATTAGCAAAAAAACTCACAGAACAAACTCTCCCCAAGTACAGATCTAGGCTGAGTAAAAATAAAGATTCTGTTTTCCTCTGATAAAACCACAAAGCCAAAAACCCAAGCAAAATGGCAAAAGGTATTTACTACAAATGGCAAAAGGTTGATGTTTTTAATAAGTAAAAATTATTTCATACGAAAAAACACAGGCTCCAATAGAAAAGTAAAGTTTATGACCTCAATTCACAGAAACAACATAGTTATTTAATATGTAAAAACCTTTTTAATAGAAATAAAAGAAATGTGAATTAGACAGACTGACCTATTTATATTATCAAATCGGCAACATTTTTAGTGATAACTTTCAATGACAGAAATAATAAATACAGGTTCTCATACTCAATTTATATGAGTATGGAACTGGTAGCAACTTTGTCAAAATCTGTTTGGCATGAAGAGACTAAAAATAGGGTTTTTTCATTGTAGTTTATTGTTTATGCTATTACAGTTGTCCCCCCTTTTTCCCCCTTTGCCCATCTAAAAATAATTTTGCTGATGATTCAATAATTCTAATTCTAGAAATCGGCCATAAGAAAATAAATAGAATTGCAGGCAAGAGTATTCACTGTAGCATTTTCCATTATAATAGATCCAGATGAGATATAATGCATCCATTAATAAATACTCGAATGTTTAGTGAAAATAAACAGGATCTAAATCTATGAAATATATAAACATTGAAAAAAGGTTAAGAAAGATACATTAAGTGGTTATCTCTGGGCAATAAGATTTTTCCTCTTTGTACTGTTATTGCATTTTCCATAAAGAAAATGATTCAAAGATTATTTAAGTACCAGAAATTTGTAAAATGATATATGCCTACTGCCACTCAGTTCTGACTACTAAAAAAGAAAATTTGATAAGAAGGTCATTGAAGAATAAAAAGTGGTTATATACTACCCATTTGTCCCTCTGAGGTGCGTCACAAAGAAAATAATGTATTTCCTACATTAGAAAAGTCTTTTCTTTGGAGGTAGAGATTAAGATGTTTAATCCCCTGAAAGAGACCCCACCTGATTTTCTCACTTTCCATTTTCCTAGGATATCAATGAGGAAAGTGGAGACTACTATATTATCTATCTTGTGGAGAATTTGTACATAGACCCACAGAAGGAGCTGAAATATATCAAATTTTTGAAGGAATAGCAGCATAATGCTCTGGAGTAGAAAGTAATGAGCACCTGGGGTCCAAAGTCAAGTGCTGTTTAGGACAACCACCAGCTCTGGGACTGTGACTGATAAGTCACTTAACTTGGTGCCTCCTTTATAAAATGGTGGGGTGAAGGGGATTTTTAGTTTCCTTACAGGGTTAAAATTTTATGGTTTTACTTTTCAGGGGGGTTTTTGGTGTTTTTAATTTGTTTTTGTCCACTTGTAAAGCCTTCACCTTAAGAATTAGCATTGCACACTAAGTTCTTGAAGGATGACGAGATTATCTTTTTCAGCAATCAGATCTAAGTGGTTTAACCTTTCCCCACCACGTCTGAAAATTAGTATCAGAGGATGAACCAAGACAGTGTCACTACTGAATTACCCTCTTGTTTCCAGGCACTGCAACGCAAAGCAGGTTACTCAATCCAACTAACTGGACAAAATTTAGCAGTGTAAGGGTTTCATTATTTAGCAATATATAGATTTCTTTTAAGTCTAGAACAGGAGGGAAGATCAAATTATTCAGCAAATCTCTGAATGAAACACATTAGAGACAGCGAACAGCCCTTCTAAAAATAACATTGTTAAGAGGGGCCAGAGATAAGAAGACAAGTTCAAGGTGCTGAGCCAGAAGATCTATAAAAAGAAGCTAGGCCCCTAGCTCCTTATACCCTTCATGTGCAATATTTTCTCTGCCCCTTGACCTACTTTATTCTATGTATCAGATAAAATATAACTCAATTTTCTATTTTCATGAAGCCTCTTTCAAAAGTATGTAGATAACTGTAATGCATCTAATTGACAAAGGATTAACTTCCAAAATATATGAAGACACAAAAAATAAGAAAAAGTCAAAGAACTCAGTAAAAATTTTAGCAAGAATATGGAAAGTAAGTCACAAAAACAGTAAGCTTTGATGACTAAACATTTAGAAGATGTTACTGTAGTTAGAGAAATGCAAACCAAAACCACAATTTCATGCCCATAAAGGCTGATAAAAAAAATATTAGATTGAATAGCCCTGGCTGGTGTGGCCCAGGGGACTGAGCACCGTCCTGCAAACCAAAAGGTCACTGGGTTGATTCCCAGTGAGGTCACATGCCTGGGTTGCAGATCAGGTCCCCAGTTGGGGGTGTGTGAGAGGCAGCCAACTGATGTCTCTCTCAGACATTGATGTTTCTCTCTTTCTCCCTCCCTCCCCTCTCTCTAAAAGTAAATAAAATCTTTTTAAAAATTTGTGTAAAAGAATCAACCAAGGAATGCATAAATAAGTGGGACAATAAATTGATCTTTCTCTTCCTCTCTCTAAAATCAATAAATAAAAATTAAAAGGAATAAAAATTAAAATATTCATAGCCCAAAGCCCAGCAATTACACCCCCAGGAACACTTCAGGAAGGTTTCTGTTTAACAATTTCAAATATACAGAAAAGTTGTAACAAGAATTTGTTTCATCCAAAATTACTAATTGCCAAGATTTTGACATACTTGCCCTATTGTTCTGTCTTTATAATTATAAAATGATGCTTTTTCTGAACCATTTAAGAACAAATTACAGACATCATATCTTTTACCCCCAAATATTTCAGCAGAGATTTCTCTTTGACATGGAGCTTCACTTATTTAACCACAGTATACTTATGGAAATTAGGAAAATGTCAGTAGTTAACATTACTGCCATACTAGTAGTATCTGATCTAGAGACCTTATTCAAATTTTGACAGTTGTCCCAGTAATATCCCTCGAAGGATTTTCTATTTCAGGTCCAGGATTCAATCCAGGACCATACATTACATTTGCAGGTCAAGTCTCTTTAGCTGCATTTAATATGAAAAGATTCCTCATACTCTTGTTTTTCAAAGGTATGCACATTTTTAAATATTACAAACCATTTATTTTGTAAATAGAATGTCTTTTTTTTAAGACTATTTATTTTCAGTCACAGGGGAGGGATAGAGGGAAAGAAACATCAATGTGTGGTTGCCTCGTGCACTCCCCCTACTGGGGAGCTGGCCTGCAACCCAGGCATGTGCCCTGACTGGGAATCTAACTGGTGACCCTTTGTTTCAGAGGCTGGCACTCAATCCACTGAGCCACACCAACCAGGGCTAGAATGTCTCTTAATTTGGATAATTAGATGTCTCTTCATGACTAGATGCAGGTTGTATACACTTTTGGCAGAAACACTAAGTCCTGTTATCCTTCTTAGTGCATCACATCAGGAGGCACATTATGGCTAGTCCCATACTGGTGACACTTAACTTTGACCACTTGGCTTAAGGTAGCCAGTGATTACCAGGTTTCACTACAGTAAAATTACTGTTTTTCTCTTTTTGATTAATAAGTAGATACTTATTATCTATAACTATCTATAAAAGGAAGATACTTTGAGACTACAGAATTATCTTACTCCTCAAACTTTCACCCAGTAGTGTTAGCACTATTGATGATTCTTGTATGAATCAATTGGGAATATGTGTCTTTTAAAATAGTATTTTCTCCCTCTTCTTACCTTCCACATTTTTTATTTAGCATTTCGTCCTAACAAAGATCTTATCCCTGTATTCTAGAGAGATTCTTATAAAATTGTGTACAAGTAGACATACATAAGAACATTTTGCTACCTTGTTTGCAATAGCAAAATAGTGAAATAAAGCTAAAGGTCCAATAGATGGATGGACATACAGCAATATGCACAAACATTAAATCATTATGTTTTGTGCTTAAACCTAATATAATATTATATCAATTACATCTCAATCAAATACATAAGTAAATGGCAAGTCATATAAAAATGAATATATACAATGCATATGACACAGGAGTTAAAAGAAACTAACTAGAACATTTACCAGTTTATTTTTTTTTTTCAAATTATAAAAGAAAGTTTATTTAAAAAGTTCCAGAGGTAGTAGAAGTGAGCCAGCTAGGCTGCATAGGTTCGGGAAACATGTTACAGAAGCAAAAGTAGGGCTCTGGGAGTTTAGGCAAGGGAAATGCAAAGATAACACAGGTGGGAGGAAACAGAGGGGAAGGGAAAGGCTCAGATGTGAGAGGGTGTGCCACATTTACCAATTCAGGTAATTTGTAAACATCAGAATTAACAACTCATAATGATATATGAAAGGTGGTATTTTTATACAGTTTGATTAATACAAAATAATAAATACTATGTATTATTTAAGGATACACACGTGTAAAAGGGAAGTATGAAAATATACATAAAAGTAATAAACATAAAAAGTTACAGGGGTTGGTAGAGTAATAGAATCAAGGAGGGATACACAGGAGAATTTGACTATTTCTATAAAGTTTTATTTATTAAGCTAAGTGGTAGGTACCCATGTGCAATAACAACAAAAAAAGTTATGTTGAACTGACAGTTGTTCCTAAAATGGAAACAATCTCTATTGTGAAAGATCATGTACAGCTTAAGAGCTCTTTAATAAGGCACACAAATATCTGAAAATTATAAAATTAAATGTCAAAAGAAGCACCACTGAATATATAATGTTACTTCCTTCCTGAAATATACTGACTATTGAGAGTCAG